AACTCCCATATAGTTTTAACCAGTGTGGACCTTGCCCTGGAGACGCCTGCTTCCCTTTATCCCTGCAGCCCACAGCCTTTCATGGTGACCGTCTCTCATGAGGCTGTGAAGCTGTTTGCTGGCAACCTGGAAAGATGCCTGCGTGACCTCCAAGCACTGAGGTTTCAGCTTGAGAGCTGCTCAAGTTGCCTTTGGGGTCATGGAGTCCAAGCACTGCCCCGGAGCACCGGGGGACCTCCGGCTCTTTGAGGCTGCAGAGCCCAAGCTCGGGCTTTAGACACATAGCCTTTATCTCTTGGCCATCAAGAGCTCAGGCAGCTCTCAACACCCTCGTCCCCGCCACTCCTGGGCCATCAGCAGGGCCCTTTCATAGCTCCCTTCCAGGAACTGAAGACCAGGGGTAAGAAGGCCACCATCGGTGGCTATAAAGTCATTTTAACGAGGAGGCAGAGACTCAGTTACTAAACAGCCTGTGCGTGAACTTAACTGTATCCTTCATCTCTCCAACATATCCTTTAATTTTCTTCTTCTGAAGAAGAAAGTATTGCTTTGATCTCGAATTAAGCAAATGTTCCTCAAATGAGCCCACCATGGGGCTGAGCAGGGGTCCTGTGGAGGCTGGCCATTTGGGCACATGCCAGGGCCAGGTGGCGCCTCCTGCTGGGGCATGTGCCTCGGTGGCAGTGGGCTGGGAAGGGCAGTGTGACACACAGCCAGGGAGCCCACACGGAGGGAAGGGCGGCCGGCCTCATCCTGATTTTTCCCAGGCAGTTTCCTGGAGACGGGCTTTTGTTCCAGTGGAGTCCATACCCCAACCCAAGAGGCCCGAATCCAGATGTGCACATTTTGGGAAACACAATCGAGCCGGAAGCTTTTCCCTCTAAATACCGCCATGTGCTCCCAGGCCCTCTACTGGGTCTGCAGAGCCTCTTCTCAAATGCCCGGATCCCCTGAGCTGGGTTCTTCCAGAACAGGTGTTTTCCTGGCTCCTGTGACATTAATTTACAAACTTCACACATGCAGACTATGGGACCCCACATTGCTGCGTGCACTTCGCTGTTAAGTTCCAGAAAGCATGTTTTTCTGGCTTTGCAGAAACTCTGTGCTGTGTTGCTCCTGCTGTCTGTGAGATTCTGATTTCTTTTCTCCCCAGCATTGTGGGCTTGCCCTAGAACATCACAGATCGAAGTGGGGACCCTCACTGCCTCCAGCCCTGCCCACTAGACATGATGAGTACTCAGAGAAAGGAGGATTTTCCCCAGGTCTCCAGATTCATTGACCAGCTGGGCCCAAGCCCCTGCTCTCAGCTCCTGAGCAACCTGGGGCCCTTTATGTCTCAAAACCTGATTCCTGATAATTCCACAGGTGTACAGATGACACATTTAAAATGCACATGGTTCAGTCATGTTTAGTGATTCTTGTTTTTTTTTTAAGACTTTATTATTTTAGAGTAGTTTTAAGTTTGCAGAAAAATTGAAAGGAACATACTGCCATTCCCCCTTGCCTCCCACATGCACAGGTCCCCCTCTGCTAGCACGTCCTACCAGAGGGGACATTTGTGACGACCGGTGAGCCTGCACTGACCTACCGCCACCACCCAAGGCCTGGTTCACCTTGGGGTTCACTCCAGGCATTGTGCACCCCATGGATTTGGACAAGCGGATAATGACACGTGTCCATCACTATAATGTTGAACACGTTAGTTTCATAGCCTGAAAGACCCTCTGTGCTCCACCTGTTCATCCCTCCCTTCCCCAAACTCCTAGCAGCCACTGATTTTTTTAATGTTTCCATGGATTTTATTTATTTAATGATTTTTTGAGATTGAATTTGTACCCCAAGAGGTCATATGAATAAAGAGTTAGCCATAAAAGCTGAGGGGATCAGGTCCAGCCAGGTGTCCACCTTTGGGACAGAAGCATTCAGACAAGTCCTGGCCAAGCTTTCCTGTAAGTAACCAGACACTGTCTAGTGTCACTGTGATAAGCCATCCCCTCCGACTCCGCCCCCTTCTCCCGGTGGCAGTCCCCACCACCCCAGGCACCAGGAATCCCTAATGTCTGTCCGGGTTTCTGGGGCTCCATCTTTGTCTGGATCCCTCCATCTGAGCAGGATCTGGTTGTCCTGTCAGCTGCAGCTCCCAACTCAGGGGACAGTGGCTGCTTGGAGGTTGGAGGTGCTTGGAGGATAATTCTTCAGGGAAAGAACAGATGTCATATTCACATCAGCATTCCTGTGGCACTGCACTTTCTGTCCCAGAGTTTTGAGGTCTAATCTCAGGGTTTCTCAAACTTTAAGGCACACAGTCATGCCCTGCTGAGCTGATTCCCCAGCCTCACCCATGGGGGCTTTGACTCAGGACATCTTGTGGGGGGGCCACGGGCTGCATCTCTGCATGAACGGGAGCCTCGGGTCACTGCGGGGAGCTCTGCCTCATGCGGAACAGGAGGCTGCCAGCCTCAGGAGACGGAGACCATCCACCCTCCTGGCGCCTGGGCCACATGGGGATATGGGATGGTGGGGCACAGAGCTGGGGCCCCAGACTTGAGTTCTGGTCCCAGCTCTGTGCCCCAGGCACTGACTGAACTTGAGCAAGTTGCCTCCCCACCCTAGCCTGTGTCTCAGTGTGGAATTATGGCATTTGAATTTGGGAAGGTCCCTTTCTGTCCTTAGTGGCCTGTGAGATTAGGAACCCAGGAAGTGTCCGTGCTGGAGCTGCAGTTACATGGTCAGGAAAGGGGAAAGGAGGTCGCCAGCATGCCAGCCCTGCTAGCCCTCCTGAGCGAGTCCTAGCATCCCAGTGGCCACCACACTTCCCTCCTGTCCTCTCTCAACCAGCTGGCAAGGAGGGACAGCGCCCCCAGGTCTCTCCTCCTTGGCCCCCTGCACTGCCCCAGACCCACTGTGGTGGGGTCGCAAGCTCCCTGGACTCACCCCTGGGTCCCTCGTTGGTGTCTCAAGCATCTAGTGTTGGGCACACTGCTTAAGACTGGGGGTCAAAGTGCTCAAGGTCTGGTACAGCTCTGCCACCGATGAGCTGTGTGCCCGGGCAGTGACATTATCCAGCCAACTTCAGTTTCTCACACCCAAGGGCATGTGTGCACAGCCATGCAACAGCCTGAAGCCCAAATCAGGATCCTTCATGCTAAACACACAGATCTGGGTTCTAGCCTCAGAATTCTGACTCAGGAGGTCTGGGGCAAAGCCCAGACATAAGAAATTTGGTGCAATAATGGCTCCGTAGGGGGGTCTGAAATGATGCGGTCCTCAAGGGCTGTCCTGGCTCTGCGTTACAACGGCCACAACTAACTCACACTCGATGTCCATCTGAGGTCGGCCCCTCACCCCCTCTCCAGTCAGTGCCAGCACTCTCTTCAGGTGTGTTTTGCTTGGAGATGTAGCCTCCACTCCCAGGTCTTTTCCTGCTATTTGGGCTTCAAATGCACATGGACCACTGCCAACAGGTGAGACCAAAGCAATCATAAAAATATTCTCTGGGGGCGGAATGAGGAGGCAGCCCCCACACTGCAGTCATCCTGGGCCATGGTCTGATCATCGTGGACATTCCTCGACCTCAGAGCAGCAGAGCTGAGCTCAGTCCTTCGGGCCAGTTGCCTCTGAGCAGTGTTTTCCGAATCTCTGGAGGAAGCCAGAGGCTGTGTTGGATTCTGTGTTTTCTGGTCAGACAAACGGCTTACGAGGAAGTCGCAGGATGTCCCTACTCCTCTTCAATACATATTATTATGACTTTCACACACTATTGTTGTTGTTGTTATTAATATTATGTTATAGCAATAGTGGTGTTAGCAGGTACATGTCTTTGAGCATTTGCTGTGTGCCAAAGACGCAGCTGCCTGCTGTGCGTCACCTCCTAGCCACACGTCACTGTCAGAGGAATAGAGATGAGCTTCAGAGTGGCTTGACCTGGGTGGTGAAGCTGATATGCTGGGAGCTGGGATCCGGCAGGGATTTGCCGGCCCAAGGAATGCGCTCTAACTATGGCGCCATCTGGCCCCCAGGACGCCGGACCGCCTCGGGAGGGAAGGGCGACAGCGGAGCCTTGCTGCTGGCCTGCCGTAAACCCTGCGAGCATGTTCTCTGTGCCGGTCGTTGAGGTTACGTTGCTGAAGCTCATTCTGGGGAAGGTGCAGTCCACTAGAAATAAAAAAAAAAAAGAAGCCAGAAAAAACCCTAGAGACTCGATTCACCTCATCTCTGTTTTACTTGGAAGGACCTACTGTTGCCTTAACACAGTTCCGCATGAGGGCCTCACACTCATATGCCGCTTTGTGCCAGGAGCTCACAGCGTCCTCTGAGGCCCAGTGCCACCACACCCCTCCTGAGGTGCTGGCACGAGATGCTGGCAGGTCAGCACCTTGGCCAGGGTGCCATGATCTGTGGCACAGCGGGTGTAGAAAGCCGGGTGGGTCTCACCACAGTGCATGGTGCAGTGGCTCCTCACCAGGTGAGCTCTGTGAAGTGGGTTTTCCAAAGCCTGAGTGAGTTCTGCTCAGTCAGCTTGGGGAGGCCAGAGAGGGGAGGACCCGAGGGGGGAGGACCCGAGGGTGTGTTCTGTATTCTGGCTCCATCTCAAATCTTGCAGGGTTCTGTCTTCCACTTCTGGAAGTGACAGCTCAGCCCAGGATTCCAGCCTGCTCGGGTCCAGGGCCACCCATCCCTATCATTCCAGCCCTCATTCCTGCAGGGCAAGAGAAGCGACCATTCGCTGTGGCCGTTCCAGCACCCAGTGCTGTGCTGTGGCCATTGTGTACCAGCTCACTTAAGCCTCCCACCTGCTCCTTTGTTCACAGAGCGCAGGCGCACAGAGAGGGCCAGAACTGGGCACCAACCAGTAGGCCCTGACACCAGTGTACTTTTCCCACTATTCTGTCTGTACGGTGAAGGCTGCTGTGCATCCACTCTGCCTTAGTATCAGGGATAAAATGATTCAACTTGATTCTAAGCTGGCCCTGAAGCTGTCACTGTCCCTTCTCTCCAAGGCCCAGGTTCCTGTGGTAAAGTGAGGTGAGCTCATGTGAAGATGTACCCGGTGAGAAGCAAATCCGAACCCACGCTTAACACCCAGATCCACGCTCCGCCCCGAAGGAATGCTGAGTAACAGAAGCACCTTTTTGAAAATGCCATCGGTTTCCTAAAAAGCACATAAGGAGGACACATTTCCAGGTACCATAGAAGAAGGCAAAACTGAAAGATGGAGCACCCAGCAGGGGCTGAGACCAAGAACCTTATGGGCTATTGGAACCAGAAATACATCTTAGGGGATGAGAAGCTAGCAGCTGCCTGGAGACATTCAGGGAGTGGCAGATGCTGTGAGCAGGTAGAGCTGGGCGGGACCAGCTCTGCAGAGCCAGGAGTGGGCCTGGGGCATCATCTCTGCATACAGATGAGCAGTGCCCGGCCTTCTGGACCAGGTGGCGCAGCATGAAAGCCTCTGCCCACCCTGGCCTCCAAGTGTGCCTGGCGTGTGGGGCTTCAGGTCACACTGTCTGTGCTGTTTGGAAATTTTGAGTGGGAATTGACTGCACCCTCTAGGTCCCCAGCCCAGGGAGAAGATCATTTCCCAGGGAGAGGTGCCTGTACAACTGGGGGGTGTTTCTGGGACACCAGAGAAGGTCAGTTTCTGAGGAAGACGGGCTCATGCACCTGTGGAAACTCCAATCACAAGGATCGACGGACTCAAGTTCCATCTGAGGAGCTTCCGAGAAGGGAGAAATCAAAATGTGCCTTTGGTCATTCAAAACACATTTTTAAAGGGAAACAAGGTACATAGCTCAAATTTCCACAATAAGACTTGAAAAAAAGGATAATCACAAAATGAGAAATAGAGTCCCTGTCATAAAGTGAGTGGGTGTACTAGGTCTCCTGGTCTCTGCCAGCCTTCTTCTGCAGTGTTACATCCTAGGAACAGGGACAGGTGTCACTTGACCTTGAACCTCAGTGGACTTGCATAGTTCCTGTGCTGTGTAGGCACGTACTATACATGCACCTGCTGAATGGAGAGATTGTCGATGTGAGTGTCCATCATGAGCTGCGACTTCCAGGGTGTTTAGCTATGGACTGTGGCCGCCCCCAGTCCCTTCCACTCCAGCCAGGCCCAGGGGACCTAGCTGAGTCCACAAGGGATCAGTGTGCATTGCTGGAGAGGAGACCCCAGGAGGGAAATAGCACCTCCTTCTGGGTCCAACATTCTGCAGTGCAAGAGACCCAGTGTGCGCTGTGGATCTCATCACCGTGCTGGTGGAAGCCCAGAAGGTCTCCCTGGGCCGGCTGATGCGTGCAAGCTCCCCTCAGCGGCTTCCCTGTCCATCCGCTGCTCTCACGCCATTTATTGCGTTCTCTAGTCCTGTGCTAAAGAGGATCTTTGAGGAATGACTGATACGGTAATGATCTACGGAACTTACTGTAGATAGCAATTAAATATGGCTAATAGCCAGGTTACGCTGACACATTAAAAGGCCCACAGGCTGCAATTTATGAAGACAGCCCTGCTGCCTCATTTGTGTCTGATGCATTTCTCTGGTTTCTGCTTAGGAGGTCTCGTCTCAGAAGAAAATGATTTCTAGGCCTCCACCAGAGTCCCTCCAGTTGCCAGACCACCCAAAATTGCTTTAGCACAGCTTTATCACCCTCATTGCATCTCATAATGTCCTCAGGGTGCCTGCTGGCCTTTATCTAAACGTGAGGCTCTGTCAACATTTCTTTGTGCAGAAAAAGGCAAGTGCAATGGAAGAGAAATCTTAGATATAATAGTGGGCAGAATCCTCATTCGTGTTGTAAGATGATCAGATGACAAGAACGGACACTAAGTGCTGGGATCCCTGTCCTAAACTTTGTTGATGCCTGGGTATAATAGACAATAGACATTCAGCAGAGACAGGGCGCTATCTATCTCCCCCAGTGGCCAGCAGCCTCCATAACGTCACGCCCTGTTTATCCAGAAACTTTACCCATGGTAAGTCTCTGGAAGGAAGAAAAGAGCGTGCTTCTGAGAAGCCAAAATGCCAACAAAAACTGTTGGGCAGCTCACAAGCGGCCCACTAGACAAGAGGTGACGAGGCCATCCCAGGGTCCCCCCCACCGCTGGCCCCCTGCCCTCACTGGCCGCTCGTTCCAGCACGCGCACATCGTTAGCAGTCAGGGAGGAGGGGAAACGCCTGCTGGCTGCTCCTGTCCTGGACCTTCACCAAGACACTACTGACTAAAAATAGAAACAATGTTAATACTGTAATTTTGCACGGCGTGTTATTAGGATATCCTTGGTGTTTTTTCCCCTTCTGTGGACACGTTTCCTTCCCCATTCCTGAGGAAACAGCCAAGGCAGTGAGCTCTCTTGCCCCTGGGATTACCTACACTTCCGTGTCCTAGTGCCAAACACAGAAGTGTCCTGATGCAAGGTCTGGTTTTTGGAAGCCTGGGTTTCCCGGGGAGTCAAGCTGGCTCAGCCGGACTAGGAAGCAACCAAGGTGCGGCGTAGTCAGTGAGAAGAGAACCGCCAGAACAGGTGGGGACCCGGGGTGTCACGGGGCCAGGAGTGGGATCACTTCTTGTCGATTTTGTGTCTCTGCTGTTCAGTTAGTCCCTGGCCCCAGACACAGAGATGCTGGGGACTGTGTGACCCCTGAACGCTGAGCGATGACCTTGGGGAAAGCGAGAGATTCAGCTCCGACACAGCCCGCCTCAAAACGGGAGGGTGTAGGATGGACAATACCTTATCTGTGGGATACTTGGGTGCCAAGAGCAGAGAACACTTCTTTGACTGTTTGGAATGTATAGAACCTTCTAGAATTTTGTGCAAGTCCAGAAAGAATGACTCAAAACATGACTGAGATTAATTTATAACCAGCAGGTTGAAGAGAAATTTGCATCAGATTTAATTTAATTTGGTGAAACAACAGCATACAATGGTTCTTCCACTGTGGTCCAAAATTCTAATTTAGAGACTGCTGGTGAGATGAATTTCCCCGAAGAGGGAAGGATGTGGAAGGTGATGCTACAGCCCCCATCTCCGGTGTGTGGATTTCTAGGATAACAGAAACTGTCTTCCCGAGTGAGAATGGCACGCAAGTCTGCCTTGCAGAATGCCAGGGACAGGGATTACCTGTCTTACCTGTGGTACAGGTGCAAAGAGGTTCCAGGTTGTGAGCCCGCTGCCAGTTACAAAAATGACCTGTCCACTAAAGTCAAAGCTTTCCCCCCAGCTTTACAGTGATATAAGTGGCAAAAAAATGTGTATGTATTTAGGGTGCACAACTTGATGATTTGATATACACCTACATTGTGAACTAAGCACCACGATCAAGCTAATTAACATATCCAGCCCATCACATAGGTAGGTACCTTTTCAATTGAGAAATGTGCACATTTACCTTTTGGGGAAATTTCAAGTATACAATACATTATAATTAACCACAGTCACCAGACTTTATATTAAATCCCCACAACTTACTCATATTATAATTGAAAGTTTGTATCCTTTGACCAACATCTCCCCATTTCTCCCCCTGGCTCCCAGCTATTGGCAACTACCATTCTGCTCTTTGCTTCTATGAGTTTGATGATCTCAGATTCCTCACATGAGTGAGATCATACAGTATTAGTTTTTCTGAATCTGGCTTATGTCACTTAACACAATGTCCTCCCAATTCATCCAAATTGTTATAAATGACAGGATTTCCTTCTTTTTAAAGGCTGAATAATAATATATATACATATGCACACTTAATACATAACCATATGCAATATATAACCACAACTTCTTTGTGCATTCATCTGTTGATGGACAAGTAGGTGGTGTTCATGTCCTGGTTATTGTGAACAATGCTGCAGGGAACATGGGAGTGCAGGGCTCTCTTCACGATAGTATTTCATTTTCTTCAGATGAATATCGAATATCCAGAAGTGGGATTGCTGAATCATATGCTATGTCTGTTTTTAGTTTTTGGGGAACCTCCACACTGCTTTTATAATGGTTACACCAACTTACATTCCCACCAGCAGTTCATGAAGGTTTCAAATCCACCTCACTGTGGATTTGATTTGCATTTCCTTGATGATTAGTGATATTGAACACCTTTCATGTATCTGCAGCCATTTGTATGTCTTTTGAGAAATGTCTATTCACATCTTTTGCCCATTTTTAAATTATTTTTTGTGTTTTTGCTATTGATTTGTAGTAATATCTTATATATTTTGAATATCAAACGAAAGGATAAGGATATTATCAGACATGTGGCTTACAAGTGTTTCTTTCCATTCCGTAGATTGCCTTTCACTCTGTTGATTGTTTCCTTTGTTATGCAGAAGCCCTAAGATGTTATCTAAGGCTAAGACTTCTGGACTAAGGATGGAGATATCTGAGTTTAACTGGCATCTTACAAAAGTTGAATTGATGGTCAATATCTGAGGCCAGGAAAAGTATCAGCTGATGGACAATCAGAGGGCTCTGCCTTTAGGGTGTTTGCATCCTGAAAGAGACCCCATCTTCAATGACCTTGATGCCAAGAATGCCAGAATAATTTAAAGCAGTCTTCGGGCCTGCGGACACTGGGAAAATAGCTCAGGTCACCTACCTAAATACCCAAGGGGTGGGGGTTCTGTGTTGTTCTGAGAGCAGAGGCGTGAGGAGGACATGTATGGGCCTCGGAGCAAAGCTGGGGGTCTGTTCTCACCCCTACGCTCAGCATGAGTGGATTCAAGTTCTCTGTGTATAATCCCAACCAGTGGAGATCTCAGAGGGAGGGCAGGGGAGGACCGTGAAGCAAGGCAGGAGGTTCTCACTGTTCTGGCCGCCGCAGGCAGGGTTCAGGCATGGGAGAGAAGGGCCTCCAGAGAAACAAGCATGGACATACCCCAGCTGGTCTCAGAGCCAGTGGGGCCGAGAGACCACCTGTTACCAGAAGCTGGTCTGTACACCCAGCTCCCCACTCATTGTGTTGGTAAGGGCACACCCCAGAGGGTGTCATCGGAAGGGGGACTTGAGGCTAAGGCAACCACAGAAATCAGTACTCCTGCCTGGATATTGAATGGGGAAAGCCACTCAGAGGCAAGACCTAGGGCTTTGGAAAGTACACCCGTCACCCCATGCAGCTTGTAGGGGTGCTGTAATTGGGAGGGATGGCCCAGAGGAAGCACGGATGGGTATTTTATGGCAAACTGACACAATAGAGAATATTGGCAAGTAGTAGGCTGAAAGTGAAGGAATTCTTAGTTAATTTCAAGAAACCAAAGAAATATTGGAGAGTGGAGCACCTAAGGATTCGTAAGAGATTGGATTTGCCCACCTCATTCCAGGACCCAGGAAGCGGCTGGCGATGAGACCCAAAGCCCCCTCAGAGGCCAGACCTGGGGATGGAGGGGCTGGAGTCAGGGCAAGCATGGCAGCTCCAGCACTGCCAGTGTGTGTCAGTGGGAGACGTGATTTCAAGGGCATAGTGCCATGCTTGAATTTCAGAGAAAGGGACAAGCCCTCTTGACATGCCTCTTGTGACATCATGAATGGAACTTCCACTCACCTCCTATGACCCAGAGCCCACCTATGTGGCCACACCCACTGCAAGGGAGCCTGGGAAATGTAGTCTATTCTGATGGGCCACACGTCCAGCTAAATAGCCAGGGTTCTATTATGGGAAAGCACAGGAGTGCCAGTGACCAGAACCAACTGGCAGTTTGTGATAAACCACAGGGGATTTCTTGTCCAGAAAAGGGATTAAGGTAAAAATCAGAATCAATAAGATGAAGATTGAAAACCCACTGACAAATAGTGTTACTTGAGTAGAACTTTAAATGATGTGTTTGCTAATTTTTATGGTAGCTTCAGAATAGAAAGATGAGTGTCCAGATTGTCTGCCTTCTTTAAGTTAATACTTTTATGATTGTAGAAGCAGTAGTATATGTCTTTGTTAGGAAACACTTTCTTTGTACTTCATTTAGGAAAAAAATAGGAAGTGTGGAAAACCAAATAGAACTAATATTTATCACACCGTCAAGAGGGAAATACCTCATTTATGTTGGTTTATATTCTTCCTGTATTTTCTATGGATATTTACCTTGCAGGTACATATTTATGTTTATAAGAGAATCATACTGTATACACCATCTTATAACAAGACTTTTTCATTTTTAAGCATTTTATCACTGCCCTTACTTGTGGCTATTGATGTCCTAAGAATTCTTTCTTTCTCCCACAGAACTTAGTCAGGGCAGGAGGGGAGTGGGCAGCTCGCTGCGCCCACGGTGCCCGAGTCTTGGGGAGGAGAAGAGGAGCTGGGGAAGCCTGAGGAAGAGAAGTGGGACGTCCACCCGGGATCTGTCGCGGGGCGCGCCGGGCTAGCCGGCCCCCCTGCCCGCACCGCTCGTTGCCCAGGCCCAGCGTGGGCTTTGCCCCGAGTGCTGGTGGCAGTCAAGCGGGAGGACAGGCCGGGAATGAACGCGCATCTCACCACCCGGGCGTGCTGGGCTCACAGGCGCAGGTGCGGGTGGAGAGGGGCCCGCGGCAGCCCCAGGTGTCCTCTCACACATGCCCCAGGCCTGCAGAAACGCTGCGCCTGGGCCACTCCACCTCTGCAAAGCTGTTTTAGACCTTCGCCTCCAAGTCCACGCGGAGTGAGGTGAGTATCTGCGGCCTGCGCCCTGAAGGACGTTCTGAGGAGCGCTTTCCAAGGAAAAGGCACAATCCTGGTTTGAACTTTAATTTGAATCGGAAACTACATTTCTTGAGTTATGCTTTTCCTTGGGCCATAGGTCAGTTTTAGTACCGAGGGGCATATGGGTGTGTATCTGTGTGTGTGTGTGTGTGTGTGTGTGTGTGCGCTCCTGTGTGTGTGAGACGAGAGCAGACCCAGCCACATAAGCTTTTTATTGATTCCCAGTCTGTCTTAGTTGGGGGTAAAAGCTTCATTGCTAGTAAATGCTCCCTAGGATTTCAGTGTGAATTAATATTCTAAAAACACACACACACACACACACACACACACACACACACACACAGCCCCGTGCGCTGACACCTCCTCCCTGACATGATGGATAGCAGGCTCCACCCAGTGCTCAGAAGGTCAGTGAGAGTTGCGGAATCCGTCTCGGGCTGTTCTTTGCCAGGTTCCCCAGGAGGGCCAGAACCAGCCTGAACCCTTGCTCACCATTTTCAGACTCCTTCTGGTTTGCAGCCTCCCGGTGCAGCCGGCGCTGGATGGAAGCAGGCCCCTTTGTTAGGGAGGCAGGGGCAGGTGTGTAGACAGGGGCTGTGCTGGGCGGGGCTGGGGGCCCTGCTCACACTGGGCAGCACGCCCAACCCGGCCTGCACTCTGCCCAGACGCTGGCATCAGTGTGGTCCTGAATGCTAGCTATTTGGGGAGAGAGGGAGACAAAGGCACCTCGCCTGGGAATCAGTCCACATGGGTAGTGTGTCCATTTAAACAACTTTCAGTCGCCCATGCTGGTTACCACCCCTCGCTGTCAGGCTGCACCGAGGAGCTCCAGCCTGTTTGTCAAGCAGATGGCTTTAGCACGTTTGTTACCCGCCCCCAGCTGGAGGGGGTGGGAACTAACCTGTCACCAGTCGGGGCAGGGCTGTGGGCACCACCTCTGGTACGTTGGGAGCCCTGGGTCCCTCCACCTACCTCCGTCTTGGGCAGCACAGAGATGCACTGAAATGGGGGCCAGCGTGCAAGGGGCCCTGGGCCCCTTGTCCTGTGATGGTCACGGGCTAGGTGGTGTCTGGGAGGATCACATGCTGACCTCTGTGTCTCCTCAGCATGTGTCACCCTGCAGGGAGATATCTCTCGTGTCTGTGGGGCAGATTCCCAAGGCTTTTATTTTAAGCAAAGTTGGCTGAATGGCTCAGGAAAAACCCTTTCTGGATGCTTCTTTAAAGCAATCATGTTGCCTTTCCTCCTAGACTCAGATGTGAAGGGGTTGCCGTCTCTGCTTCAAAAATATACAGAAACATGTGGAAATGTTCTGTTTTTCTGATCGAAAGCCATGTGCACCAAATGTTCACAGACCTGATCTCAGTGTAGATAAAAGTGAGAAACCCGAGGGGCAGCTGGCTGTGGACGCCCGGCGTTGTGTGCTGTAATTCAGTCATCCTGCCTGCAGAATTTCTTTGCATAAATTACAACCGCAGTGATAGCATCACTTTCACAAAAGGTGGCCTCCAATCGATCCAGCTCCCCCAGAGGTGGCTGGGGTTTTCCCAGCAGAGCAAGGCCGCCCTGCAGTCCTCTGGGCAGCGTGTGCACCTGGGGCTCCTCCGGCAGATGCCCTTTGGGCAGCACATCCCGGCTATTGCTTGTGCACCTGATTTTCTTTTTCTTCTCAATGTTTGCTGACTGCTAGGTTTTTATTTTCCTGGAATCAAGGGTTACTGGCATTGGGTACCACACTTGTGTCTGGAGGAGGGATATTAGTAGGAAATCCTGCTATTATAATACCTTCCGGGCCTCCTTTTTCTCTTGCCTTCTTTCCCCCCATGCTCTCATGCACAAGCAGTGGGTCTTCTTAAGCCTGGACAAGCACAGTCCCTGGGCTGCTCTGAGCAGCGCCAGGCCCAGCATTCGGAATGGCAGTCCTGCAGGACCCAGGAGCGTTCTGTAAGCCCCTCTACTGAAGTGCGGCCATCAGTCAGCCATGCATGTCTGCACTGTGGGGGCCCCAGGGTGTCCCGGACAACCCCTTTGAAAGAACAGGGTTTGAAAGATTCCTAGGACAGAGGCAGCTGACCTCCATCCCTGCAGCTTTACCTCCCAAAGGACATTCGATAAAAAGGAAAAAAACTGAATCTGTGGGAACTTTTCTATTTCCAAAGGGGTTGTCTCTGGATGACATGGAATATTTTCACATTTTCCTGAGTGTCAAAATCCTCAAAAAAGAACTTAAAGCCCAAACCATACCTATACGTGCAATGGCAGGACTATATGGTGAAAAAGCAAGCTTACAGCTGGTGTTCAGTACAGGTCACATGTATTAGTGAAAAATATACAACATTATCACTGCTTCTCAAAGAAGTACTGATTGTTAAGAGATGCAAATTTACACTCCCTTGTACAATTACAGCACTAAAGGCCTTATCTCCTATCACATTACCATGGGAACGTTTGATATTTATTCCTGGGGACAAAGCAGAAGACTGGCCATCCTGTGTGTTGTGCACATACAAAATGTGCCTGGCAGCCTGGGTCTGCAAGGACTCTGATCACATTGTGTGTATTCAGGGGTAGTCATGAGTCAAAATGCTCCCATGCAATGATATTGGACGTTTCAGATAATACAACCCTGGATAACAAACGTTTTCCTCTACTCTGTTAACATGTGTAAATAGGAAGTGCTGAGTAGAATAGAATAGTGAAGAGAGAGACAGTTAAGAGAGGCAGGACACAAAGATCATGTATTTTCACTGTGAATCAGATTATAGTTGCCCGCCCTCTAGCTCGTCTGTGTCAGACTCAGCAGATGGTTAAGCTCAGTGAAGTCCATGGTGTACGTCTGTGCACACATGAGTGTCAGTGTGATGCGTGTGTGTGGTGTGTGTGTGTCTGTGCTGTGTACATTGCATGAGTCTGGCCTGTGACAGTGTGGAATGGAGCCCAGGACAGAGCCCCCTTCCCTGACCCCTGGAATACAGCACCGGCCGCAGTAGGACTCCAGCCCCAGGGCCCTGGTGGGGGGACAGAAGGGCTGGGCCATTTTCAGGAGGGGCTTGGCTTACTAATGTCCAGCAGTGTGGTTTGTGTGTTTCCCATGTTATACATTTCCACCCCTTCTTTCCTTCCTTAGATTAAGGAAGGAAAATCTATTGAGATGATTCTGTGGGACTTCTCCTGTTAAAATAAACCTCATCATTCCCTGAGCTCTTTGATACTAAGGAAGTGATCACCACAGGCTTTGAAACCAGGCAGCTCGGGGTGCCTGTCCCACTCTCCCTGCTTGCTGAGGCATGGTCTCTGCCATCTTCTCTGCTACTCCAGCTTCTTGGTGAGAATTTCTTTATCTGCAGGATGGAGGTGATAATGCCCACCCTGCTAGGTCACAGCAGAGAATGTGTGTATGGAGGAATAACATGTGGTACACCATAGGAGCTCAGTAAATAAATAGGAATTATTACTGGTCTTGTATGTGGATCACAACGTACATTGATTTAAAGCAAGTACAGTCTTGGGATTAAAGATAAAAAGGTCATAAAATGCCAGATATGCGCTTATTTGAAACATTTGCAAAGCTCTGAATATGGAGATCACATAACAGGGTCTTAGCTTTGCCACTAATTAGTTACATATTATGTCAGACAAATTATGTCACCTCCCTGGATTTCAGCTGTAAACAGTGGGCTGTGTCCTGGATCACACTAAACAGGCAGTGGGGTGTGGAGTCGACATTAAGGAGGGATCTCTGGGACATCTGCACATCCGCCTCCCTTCCAACCAGGTCCTGCCTGCCCGCTGCTCGCCTCTCCTCTTCTCTGCTGGAGAAAAGCCTCCCTCCCCTCGCTCACTGTCTGGAGGCCATGGAGGGCAGGCACGGGCCTGGTTCTCAGGTGCAGGGCGGCCACTCTTCAGCACGTGGCCTTTGCAGGCAGACCTGCCACTGTCCCTCGGGCTCCCAGGTCTATGCCCTCCTGGTCAGGCGTTAGGAGGTCAGGAGGACCCTCCTCCCAGAAGCGGCAGGAGATTCCCATTTCATGCTTGGAAATCAGTAATCCTCCACTCAAGGTCTGTTTTTGCTTCATACTCACTCCCCCTCTGGCCCCTCAAGTTCCACACCCCTAACATGAGAGGACAGGCCCTGGGGTCGCACCAGCACCACGTCGCATCAGAGCCAATGAGGATGCCCAGACTGGGGCGGAGAAGCAAGGGCTGCGCTGTTCCTGGTCAAAGCCCGAGAGACCCCAGAGCAGAGGAGACGGCTCCTCCGCCTCCAGGGACACAGACCGGGATCCCCGGGGGAACAGAGGATGTGTGGTCCCAGCGAGCCAGGGAGGAAAAGCAGGGGGTGCCATTCTCGGCCTGAGCTGTCCAGAAGGCTGAGTCCCAGTGACAATTAGAGACAGCCCAGCAGGCAGCAGCTGAGGCCCCATCCCCGGGAGCCATTTCAGTTGCAGAGTAGGCCACAGAAGGGCCCGTTGGCCCGACGGTGCTGTCTGCCTGGCTGTTTGATTGCCAGGCAAATAATAACCCGAGCCCCCCCCTTGCTCCGGGCTACAGGGAGGACAATGACCCGCTGTGAAAAGATTTAAAAAGATTCTGGGAAGGGAAAAGCTGGCCTACATGGGGCCAATTCAGCACCTTTTGGAGGCTGTGAGCGCGTCCTTTAATTAAGGCCCTGTTCTTCAGGTCATCCTGCAGAGATGCACGTGCCTCCCATCTGCCATCCGACACTGTGAGCAGCAGACGGACTTCACACTGTCATTGCCAGGCTTGCTGCGGCCCACGGTGATTTTTCAAGGGAGGCAGACACAGACTCACTCATTCCTTCTCTTTCTTCCTTGCTCTGAAAGATTCTACGAAAACCACATTAAAAAGCGTGTAAGCTGAGCAACTCCATCTATCAAAGGAAGGTCATCAGCAGGGTCCACTCCAAGGATACACTGTGTGTTACCAGCTTTCCACACAAAGCATGAAGACCAGCGTCCTCTTCATGGACCTAATCTCCATTTCACCCCCAAACAGCATCTGCCTGAAAGCTGGGACACAAAATCTTTCCTCTATCAGAAGAATTTCATTTGCTGCAATGCATGTGGCAAACATTCAGGGCCCAAGACATTCTCTGAACAGCCAGGTTCTGTTTGGTGTCACTGGTGGTGATTGTAGGTCGTTTGGTGCTGGGCCCATTCTGCAGATTGGTCCTGTTCACATGGCATAAGCCCCTGGCCTGCCCGGAATGCTGCCTGTCTGACCTCCTGGAAATCTTGCCGTCGCCAGAATTGTGCTAGCTCAAGGCTCCCCCTACCTCCCAACCCCAAGACATGGCTGCATTCCCAGGGAGGGGCCCTGATGTGCTGGGTCTGCCTCCCACCATGTCTGCTGTCTTCCGAACCAAAGGAGGTTGGTGCACACCCAGCCCAGCCCAGAGGCAGCTCAACCCACCCCAGAGACAGCGATGGGCCGCAGTGGCCCAAGCCACTATACCGTGGTGGCCTGTGGGAGGACCACTGCCCTGTGTTATGAATAGGGAAGCTAAGGTCATTGCTGATGTGTGCTGGATACAAAGGAAGTGCAAGTCAGAGATCCTTGTCCTGCGGCCTCTCTTGAAAAATGACCGATCCGAGAAGCTATAAATGGAACGGTGGGAAGAGGTTTTCCTGTACCTGGGAGATGGCTCCCTGCCAGGCTGGCCCATTAGACACCTGCTCCTGTCTGTGTGCAGGCCCCCCACGGCCCCGCCCCCTGGACACACCGCCCTCTGCTGTCCCCTTGCATCGCCCTTGACATCGCCCTTACTGTGCGCTCCTCCTGCAGGCTCAGGACCCCCGTGGATGCCCTCATCCTGCAATTGTTTGGTTCTTCCATTATCAGCTCGAAGCTCGCTCAGTCTATGGGGCTGAGAAAGCATTTTTATTATATCCTTTTAATTATTCAGATAAAAGGTTCCTAGACCCTGATTTATCTCTGCTGCCTAAAGAAAAATGGAGAGTTAAATGCAATTCCACTTTGAAAATTACAACCTTAAAAACAAAATTATGGCTCAACTGAAGGTGTCCAGGGAAATGTGCCCATTGAATAAGCTTGATGATTTTTATCATTTCAAGTACATTGCCATTACCATCATTTATTAACCATGTTAGAGACCAGGAACTGGATATTATTAGTTCACCTTTTCAGATAAGCAAGGGTGCTCACAATCTCCTAGAGTGGGATCTAATTTGGTGGCTGGAAGAAAAAAGGAGAAAGATCTTACAAGAAAGATCTGGTTTCTAAATCACACATAACAAACATCTCGTGAAATCATGGAGAAGAGTAGAGGCCTGAAACGGTCTCACGTTTATGTCCCGTGAGAAGCAGCTCAGTTCCGTGGGGAAGTAGTTTGACATCAAGGATTCAGTCTCATGCCTCACACAGACACAGACACACGCACACAGACACGCACACACAGACGCATACACAGAGACACACACAGACACACACACACACACAGGCTCTAGGAGGGTCCAAGCAAAATGTCCCTGTGCATCAAGAAAAGGGCAACATCTGCTGACTTGCGGCCCTGTGCTCTGGGGGTCCCATGCGGCTGGACTAGGCCACCATGCAGGAGCTTGAGCATGCCGGACCCTGGACCCATGCCCCCTCTTTCCAAAGGCCCTGTGGGGCTGGTGCGCCCACAGCACACCCCGAGGTTTAGCGCCTCAGTGTCTCCAGTTTCCTCCATCCCAGTGAAGCTTCTCAGTTATGCTCACAATTTTTTCATTTCCTAAGACTCACCCATTCCCACAGTCCCTCACCGAGGGCTCTACCAGTTTTCTCAGTATTCCCACTGACACCCAAGACTTTAATTTCCAATTTTATGCTCACGATGTTGACACCTTTATATCCCACTCACATCTCTCTGTGGAATCCCAGACACACGGTTTCAAAGTCTGCAGGTCAGTTCTGCCTGAGAATAACCAAGGCCCCTTGACCTCCCCTCGACCCCGCAGGTGATGTGTCCGTGTTCTTCTCTCCCGGCCTTGTCCTGCACCACTTGATGCTTCTCATGTTGTCTGTCTTCAATCAGTGGCGTTCCCATAATTAGCCCAAACTAGAAATCTAGTCCCTTCACACACACACACACACACACACACGCACACACACACACACCTCTAATTTATTTACTAAACTCTGTTTCTTCTGCTGCTGCAAGAGTTCTGGTGTCCTCTCTTCCCTCTGACGGCTGTCACTCCCGGCTTCCGACCCCCACCATTCTTGCCCACAAAGCAAAAGCACCTGACCTGTTTCCATATTTGGGTCACTCTTCACCCTCCAACCTGTCTCCCACCTGCCTCCAGAATTACTTTTCACACATCAAGCTTTGTTTCCCAGCAGTTAAAGAATAAGCTTCTTAGCTTATTACACCTGTGCTTCCAACCTCCCTGCACACCTGTGCAGGCCCCTGGTCACCCGACCCCCTTCAAAACCCGTGCCAGTCCCAGAGGCTGCGCTCTGGGTTTGCAACTTGGAATACCTTTCTTTTCCTTTGGTTGCAAAATACATTTTCAAGACCTCTGTAAATGTTATTTGTACTACATGCCACATGGTATATGCTATGTGATGTGTGCTCTGTGGTATATGCCATTTGGCATGTACTGTATAGAATGTGCAATCAGATCTGGTGAATCAAAGTAAAAGGCTCATCACATTCTCACTTCTGCCTCCAACTCCGGGCGTCCTGCCCTTTGCCACGCGCCACTGCAGCAAGTTCCAGGTAAACTAGGTGGCGCTGAAATTGGGAGGGTCTGGGAGCCTCTGTGTGACTGATGTCTCGGGCACTGGGATGGAGCCCAGCTCAGACTTCTCCTCTGTGCGCTGAGCCAAATGGCCTGCCAGGGAGACCACGGACTCACCTAACTCCTGTTCTTCTCTGGCCCTTTGCTTCACCCGCACACTTCCAGGTCTCGGCTTTCCCATGAAGTGCTCCAGGCTCCCTGATACTGTAAAAGCCCACATAGTGCAGGAGGTGGGAGGCGCACCGGAAGGGAGCCGCTCCCGTGACCTGCCCTGGGTGCAGTTGACTTGTACGCCTACGCAGAGGACGGGCTTCACTCTGACTCGCTGTGGCACTTACATAATACTGGTTTCACATTTGTTTCCTGCATCCTGACCAAAATAAGGTGTAATAGTCATAGATGATGTCCCGAGAGGTTTTGGCCATTCTTACTTACAATCACTAATTGAAGGTGTAAGTCATAAGTACACATCTCGCATGATATTGCATAAAGTGTATCGAACTTTAGCGGGAAAAGATCACCTGGGAGACCCTGAGAAGCATAGCTGGCCTGAGCTCTAGAGACCCTGAGGTACCATCTGCCTTCCGTTAGAGATACCCTGCCTCCAGCAAGAGAATGTAAGAGCAGAGAAAAAAGCGAAGGACAGACAATAAATGTGGACATGATGAGCACAGCTGTTTTATGGCTCACGGAAGCCCTGTGTCTGCAGAGTCAGGAGTCTCAGTGAGTCGGAAGAAGGAGAGATGCAAATAAATCCATTCCTGAACTATGATCACAGTGAAATTGAATGCTACCAAAGAGGAGGATGCGATCTTAGAAAAACACAGAGAAAAGACAGAGCATCTACAACAAACTGTTGTCTGATAGGAGACTTCTCAACAATGCTCAGGGAGGCAGAGAGACCCATGCAGGAAGTCTTGACTGCCTGAGAGAGGGGGACATGCCAAACGGCCAAGGGATCCGTCCCTGCCTGTTGGCGGAGCTCAGAGCTAGTTACATTGGCCTATTCATTCAGCACCAGGAGAGGTAATTCCGGCGCCCCTGGCTGCAGTGTCCTCATGGGGCAGTTGGCAGTGCTGACGGGTGGCTCGAGGAGTCCATGCAAGTTAAGAGAAGAGGGACCCTGACTGCTGTCAGATGAAAAACACCTTTTAAGGACAAAGATAAGTGTAACGTGCCTGGCTGAGTCTCTGTATAGCGCTATGTAGAACTGAGGTGTTTTTATTTCTCCCCTGAAATTATGTTCCTTTCCAGCAGTTACTCCAAAGGCTGAGCCATACAGATTCTAGCCCCAGAGCAGGAGAGAGCAGGTGGCAAGGTGTTTTAGGGACTCTAAATTTTTAATGTTGATTTTCTTGATCTCATCAGAATCAGAGAGATCACAGAGAGAGAAGACATTGTCATATTTTAAATCCCCCCTTCTGTATATCAAGGCTTAGATTTGATCACAGAATTTTCTGCAGGTAGGTCCATGAGAGTGGAGAGAGGGAGGCAGAGAGAAAGACAAGGAGACTGAGAGGGAGATGTGCTGAGGCTGTCTAGTCGTCCAGGGAGGGGGTGAGGAGGGGAAACATGGGCAGGGCCAGGAGGGTGAGGGGTGCAGGTGAACGATGGTAGGTGGGCTACAACAGCTCTTTGCTCAGCTATCTGTAGGGCTTGATTTATTGTGCCTTTTCTTTAATATCACTTCCTCAGGAAAATCTTCCCTGGTCATCTTGAATAAAATAACATACGCCCCCTCCTCTGTCTCCTTCTCTTTTTCAGTTAAGCTTGCTTTGTCTGTAAACACCCTCCCTCCTTACACTGGACATCTACATCTGGGTGGGGTCACTGTCAGCCCTCTTTCTGGAATGCCTTATCCCTTGCTCTCTCCCAGAGCCTGGGCGTGGCATACGTACCACACTGCCCATACAGACAGTGGACGAGGGGAAAGCTGCAATCTGAAGGGGCTTAGCTTGGCCTGGTCTCCAGGACCGCCGCAGGGAAGACCTCACAGAGTGCTCCGTGCACCAGCATAAGGAAACCATGTCACGTCCAGTTAGCACAGCCGGCCAGAGGGGAGGCTGCCCACAGGGACCTACCTGAAGGAACGCAGTGACATGAAAGTCAACCTACATGAAAGACAGAATGGATCTGTGTGTGCGGGTCTAACAAGGATTGGTTGTGAGCTCTCAAGGCCATGGGAACCTGATCCAGAATCCACGGAGTTTCGCTTGTTCAGTTACACAGTGAGCGCCATCGTAATTAGAAATACAATTATGTGGAAAGAAATCCACTTCCTTTTCCTCCTTTAACAAATAAAGACGTGCATTTTGCATTAACAGTAAGGAATAAATAATAAGCTAGAATAGAAATTATGACACAATGGTGTAATGTCTATAGATTTCTATGGTCCCTGGAGTCTGCTGCTCCAGAAATGTACTTTCTTTCCCCTGTTTAGAAATACTCACAATTCTTTGTTGATTCAGTTCACCACATACTCACACAGGAACATTGGGACAGAAATGTATTTAGCATTCTGTGGGCTCCTTTCTTGCATTGCATGTCAATTAGGACACCATTTGTCTTGCGAATTTTATCTCTTAGAACATTCTCCCATGTGCTGTTGGAAGATAACACCATTTGCAGCCTTTGAAGTTGCTGGGTCTTACTCTGTGTCTCCTAACACCCCGTAGGTGTGTGTAATCTCACTGTAACAGAATGTTGTCATGTCTTGTTGACTAATGAAGCTCCCTCGCTCCAAATCTCCGCAGCTGAAAGTTCAAGTGTTAAATGGTGGGACAGTGAATCCCAAAGGGGGGCAGACAAGACCACTCAGGAACTGGCTGGGATTTTCATTCTTATTCTTCCACTTCTGCATTTTCCCTCATCATGCCAGGTGCCGCCTGGTCAGAGACACTAGAGGCCTCAGCCTAGAGCCTGAGACCAGGAACTAGATCCTACATGATGAAAGACAGCAAATTCCTTCAGCTTGGTATTCCAGCAGCGGGCTGCAAGATGCTTAATCCACTTGTTTATTCATGCAGCAAACACTGAGTACCTACTGTGTGCCACACAGTGGGGCAAATGCTGGGGCTGCCATGATCCAAAGTCAAGATTCTTGCCTGCAAAGTACACAGTCTGATGGGAAAGGCATGTGGACAGGTAGAGGATGATATGGTGAGGACTGGGAGAGAGGCCTGCATGGAGGCCCATGGGCTCCGAGGATGGGACACTCTTGCTGTGGATGGAGGGGCCCAGTCAGGGAAGGCGGCTTTTGAACTGTGTGAAGATCAGTTCCAAGAATGAGGGGAACTGACATAGGAGGGGAGCAGAGTCTAGACCATCATGAAGGGCCCCCCATTCTCCTGCTACAGGGCTTGAGCAGTCACTGAGAGGGTGCCAGCTGGGAAGCCCCCGGGGCACCTGAGCTTGAATCATGCCTTGATGACTGCATTCCAGGACGGATTCGATGGGGGAGAGTTGTGGGTGACACAAATTAATGAACTGTTGCAGAGATGACACAATGAAGGCCTGGGGTAACAGTGCTGGCCGATGCTCGGGTTACTAAAGGACCCCGTCAGTAGCTGGAGTGGAGGTCTGGGGTCTGGTTTGCCCCTGCGGAGTGAAGACGATGCTGCTCGCTGAGTCAGGGAGAGTGGATGGAAGTCGCTGTTGGAGGGTGCCGTCGCCATCTCAGTGTGGGTCAGGTTTTCTTTGAGGTAGAAATGTGGACCATTCAGCCAGCCGTCATGAGACCTCCAAGAGGAAATGTGGGCCTTTCAGAGGACTGTGAGCCCCTCGAGCTCCAGAACAAGATTGAGGCTGGGATGCAGGTTCGTAAATCAGAAACTTTACACAGCAGTTATAAGCCAGGTGTATAAACCGTGAGAATAAAAGTTAGCAAAAAGATAAAATGTAATAACTGAAAATCCTGGGGAATGGTAACATTTGAAGAAAATAGGAAGAAGGAAACCAGGGAGGTAGATTGGGAGCGAGTTGTTTCAGAGGTAAGGGGATCCAGGAAAGAGACGAGGCCGGCCAGCCAGCAGGAGGGACTGCGGTGGGGAGACGCGGCAGATGGGTCGGTCAGATGGGGAGGAGCCCCAGCCCCGGGCTGGGCAGTTCTGAGGCCTCAGGTGAGCTCCAGGTGGGTAATGGTGGGGGCTGGAGACTAGGCAGAGTGAAGGGGGTAGCATGGAGGTACCGGGAGTGGAGGGCTAATCTGGCTCATTTGCTTTAATCTGTAGATGGGGAGACTGAGGTTCAGTGGATTTTTCCCAGTGGCACCTCTAGGCTTGAACTCTGGTTCATATTTGAGAAAACATGCTTAGAAAGAATCAGGAAGGGCCTTGTGGAAGGCCGTGAGTTGGGCCCAGGACCTGAGGCCTCCTGCCGTGGCTGATGCCAGCAGCGGCATGGGACCAGGGGGCGTCCTGAGCCGTGCACTAGCGTGACCACCAGAGCATTGGCAGGGGATGGAAGGAGATGCAGGGAGCGGAGCTGGGCAGAGAGGGCGAGGGGTCACACCCCGGTGGCGTGGGCAGGTGAGGAGTCAGGAGGGAGAGACTGGACAGGGCGCAGGGGAGGGGCCGGTGACTGGAGATGAGGCTGGTAAGTGCCCACGTCTTCTTGTCTTGAGGAAGGAAGTCATTGGCAGAAATGGGAGAATCTGGATGACGCACTGCTCCTTGGCATATAAGATGCCTTTTTGTAAAAAGTGGAGGAGAAGAACCTGTTTTAGATGGCGCCAGAAGGCCCGCTGCCTCTCGCCTCTCTGAGTGTGCATGTGCTCACGGCGACCCCCTGCGGTCCCCACGCTGCCCCCTCTGTGAATTCTCCTCAGGGTCACCATGCGCACCCTGGCCTTGGAATGCACACCCCTCGGGGTCCCGCCGCGCCCGTCAGGAGCGATAGAAGGAGAGAGCGCAGTGCTGAGGCCTCCTGTCCCTGGCATTTCATTACTTTTACAAAGGAGACAAGCACACATTCATTAGGATACTATGAAATATTACCCCAAATAAGTAAAATTAAATTATACTTGTCAAAATAAATGAACACTGCACATGCCACGATTCAGTGTCCCTAATTTTCTAAATTATGGTTTTTTTCTTACTTGCTAATTTGTGGAATTCGCTAACTCCCTGTGGCCCCCTGTCCCTGGAGAGAACCAGCCCGCAGGCTGCGGCTCAGGGCTCGCACACCCTGCTCCCCGGGCTTCTGGCAAGCGCTACCTGGGGCACCATGTGCACTGATGGATTGGTTCTTTTTCTCTCTTCAAGTGTATCGCTCAAGCTGCACATTAATTTTCACCCTTTGAGATTAGGGCTGGGAGAAGTGTGTTCTCTAGGCAGATGGAAGACGACCATTTTGCTCTGAAATTGGAAATCCCAGTCCACAATCACTGTGACATTGCCTTATTTTGAGTGTGTGTGTTTTCTTATGAATGCCAAGGGCAGACAGTTGTGTCATGTTGAACTGCCCTGAGCCATCGTACTGACCGGTCCCCTGCAGAGGTGAAAACCCTCTTTGGCCTTGGTGTGCTGCAGGAGGGCTTCCAACCTGTGCGGTGTTCATGGCGTGCTTCCCGGTGGTACGAGGCATTCTGCAAGAGCTTTGTGAGTATCATCGAATACTCAGCAATGTTGCTGTGATGAGGCCCTTTGACTTCCCTTTGATGAGTCTGAAGCTCCACGCAGTTCCGTGGACTGTCCAAGGCCCCCTACCTGGTGGATGGCAAGAGGCGAATGCATGTCCTGGGATGTGTTTTTACCTGCTTCGGCTCTTTATTGGCTCTCATCAAATTCCCCTTAGATTATATATTATTAATGTGCTTAGATAATAAAAAAGCAGGATATGTGAAGAGAGAGCTTAGGGAGATGGCGGAAGAGGACCATGAGGGGCAGGTATTGAAGAAAGGCCAGCATAGTTATCTCTTTCCTGATTTTAACTATGGGCCCTTCTGTACCTCGGGGCATGAGACCAGGGAGGCCTGGACCCTTTGCCCGAGGCCCCCAGGCTGGAGACACTCCCCTGGGGTGGGGAAGCCCAGGGAGCTGAGGGCAGCTCCGCCCTGGAGCCCGGCTGACTCCAGGGAGCAGGTGTGCGGTCCTGCAGCAGACCCAGCCCAGAGGGCAGTGAGCGAGGTGAGAAAGAAATGACTTCCTGTAAACCATCAAGTTTGGAGGTGGTTGTGGCACAGTCATAACAATGCAGCACAGCAGAGCTCTGCTTTATACGTGCTTTGATCATATTTTATCAGAAATCTTAATCCAGTATACACATTACCTAAAAGAAAGGCTCTTTCAGGTAAATGTCTTTGGTCTAATTATGAGAATATTCATGGAATAAGGGGAAACAATTTATGATGAAACTATTTACTCTTAAATGTTTAATTTAATCACAAACCAAATCCATTTGATAGAGGCTTTACTGTGGCCAATTCAATAAGATAGGTTTTGCTAAGATGATTTTGAATTTTCCTAAGGAAAAATTTGGGTTCCTGGACCTGTTGATAGCCCTAGGGTTAGCCAATTATATTTTCAAAATAATACCTAATATGCTACCAGTATTCAGGAATGAATTTCAGTTTCTTCCCAGTTGGTCACCATTATCCCAGGTAACAGTATAATCTTCCAAAAAGATACACCATTGATGTATTTTAAAAGCATTTATATATCCGATGACCGTGTAATGCGATTTGGCTGAGCCCAGTTCTCAGAGCTCACATCTCCTTCACTAGATCCCAGGCAGCGAGCAGAGCTCCAGGCACCCCCGAGTCTGGGACGGGATTGCTGTGCATCTGGGTGAGCCCCAGCCGCCACCCCACATGGAGCAGATGCCTAGGTGCTCATCAGATTTTGCTCTGTTCTTCTAAATAAAAGACTGCCCGAATCCGTCTACATGTAGATCTAATAAATATTTTTAGGCTTGTCTTTATAGAGTCAAGTCTTACTAAAATCACGGGTGTCCCAACCATGTAGCATTTCTCTGCTCATTGCCTTCCCAGCCCAGGGCCTCTGGGCATGTTTGGCCCCTTTGGGGACCATTTCTCCCATTAATTTATCTCCTTCTCGACATTCAGGTCTCTGCTCCTCCTCAGATAGGCTGACCGGACCATGTGACCTAAGAGTTTCAGCCTGTTTCTTTTTTTACGTATTTATTACACCTGGAAATGTCCTAGCTCCCTACTGTCTGCTTGCCCATGGCCTGTCTTCTACTTTGGCTAAAACTGAAACCCCCAGAGAGCAGGACACTTGTGCGCTGTCCACGGGGTTCTTCCCCACAGCCCGGGAAAACAGCAGTTGTCCCATGAATACCTGTCAGACGAATGAAGGAAGAAATGAGTGGATGAATCATTGATTTCCTGAACAGAAATGCCTAACAGTTTTGCTGGCACTGTAACCCCTGCTGTCCT